AGGACCCACTTATCCTCCAGCACCCTTTTTTGCACAGTTTAATCATCAATTTCTCAAAGTATGACAGCCTCACATGAACTTTTCTAACTTTTCTTCATTTGAAAAGTAAGTTGGTTGTTAGATTTTGTAATGTTCACATTAAGTGCAAGGTTTTTGCTCATTCATACTGTAGGGCTTTCAGCCTGTTATCCAGCGTCACTGCGGTAGAAGGAAGATAGCGCATAGATTTCAGATAAAACTCGGTGTCATGGCACTGAAACTGTGTGTCAAAGCAAAACCTTTTCAAAGCGGTGACATAACGCAGCGCTGAATTCAGACTCTTTTCATTTTGGAGGTTTTGTCACGATTTCCTCTCTTTCACATTCTGTTTACTCTATGATTTGCAAAAGGCCACATACTGGCACTCAAGGCCAATCAGACTGAAGTGGTGCTTAAAAGAGGACCTCATCCTTCAATCAGGCCGTATCTGGACTATAGACCTGCATGCTGGTTTTAGTGGGGTTAAAGAGGGCCGAGGCAGGTCATTATGAAAAGAATAGAGCACTGGAGGGAAAGAAGCTGAGTGAGAGGGAGAGGATGAATTGTATAGACCAGAGCCATGATTCTTCTTCCACTGACACAGGTCTGCTGGAAATGAAAGGGAGGGAAAGAGGGAGTAAATATGAGGAGAAAAATGAGACGGTGAAAGGGAGAGAACGCTGAAAGGTGGCAGGGGGAGACGGAAGGCCAAGGGAATGAATGCCTTTAAGAATGAATAAAGAGAAAGGGTGGCATATGTCTTTGAGGGTTTCAATGAATTAGTAATTAAAGAGGAATGTGGAAGAATGACTGAGATTTATGAGGATGAACACTTTACAGCTGAGGCAGGAAAACTTCTCACTTTTAAAAATGGATTCCCTTCCCTCAAAATTTAATCCAGTTGCATATCTTCTGTGCTCAGTATAGGTAAAGTGAAATATTTAAAGCCTCTTTGTTGAAATTTTGATGGTTTTGGTTTATAGGGCATGGAAAGGAGAAATCCAGCTTGTCAATTTACTGTATTTTTTGTACTATAAGGCACACTTAAATTGCTTAATTTTTCAATCATAGAAAACATGAACCCCCTAACAACTTTTAAAAATGGAGCTGTACAGAAAAAAGAGGACTTGAGCACAAACCAGTCTTACAGTAACTACATGTCAACATTGCAACCAGGGTGGAGAAAACATTATATTCTGTGTAATAAATTTCTAAAGTTTGTCCACAGCTCCATAGGGATTGCTGGAGGAGGTGGGATTTATGACCTATACTGCAGCCCGTCACCAGAGAGTGCTGTTCTAGGGGTAGTTTCACCCAGCGAGGAGGCAGACAGCGTCCGTTCTATATACAGTCTATGGTTCCCACAGATGTGTGTGCATGGTGGGTTTTATACACCAACACCAGCCTGAGTCCTCTCCATGTGCAGCTCTCTCTCTGCTCACCTGTTGTGGTCATTCCTGCTTTATTTTCCCTTTCCAGTCAGTGTCCCATTATTATGCGTCAGTATCACTCTGGGGACTTCCAGTGTAATCAGCATTGACCTTCAGTGAACTTTACCTCCCCTTGAGGAGGCTGTTGATGATCAACTTCTGGAGATCTGTCGAGTCAGCAGTTTTTTCCCACGGTAGCCGTTGAGTGCTCTGAACTCGACCAAGAGATCACAGTGTTTATTCTGTTTGAGAAGTGATTTGCTGAAACTCAAAATGAAATATTCATATGTTTTGGGGGGGATGCAGATTTGGATGTTTTCCATTTTTGTGCTGTGGGCCATAATTATCAAAAATGAAAAATGTTTGAAAATTTAATATTCTTGACTCATTATGTGTAAACTAACATTTTCTCCCTCTTTTAAATAACTAATGTGAAGCATTGGACTTTTACTCAATATTTTAGCTTGTTGAGATGCACTGGTAAACACACACGGATTAAAAATGCATTAGCGGGCTAATTTGGAAATGTTTTAAAAGCAGTTTGAGATGTATGTGCACTTATGAGAATTTAAAGGTTACCTGAGGCTATAGAGATAGACAAGACACTTCCATTTCCTAACATAACAAAGAACCATATAAAAATAAAGGACGCGATAAAGGACATGAGAGAATAGCCAACAAGTGCTTGGTAGAGATGAGCTACTGAGTGCCAGAGCCAGGATGACTGCAATTACCTTAATCATCTCCGAGCTAATCTGCCAGATAATTTAAAGAGGGGAGAATGAATGGTGTGTAATCTTGTAGGTTGAAAGTTCACCGGGTTAATGATGGCGATGACGCTGACCTTGTGGGGATAACACGGAACGACACGAATGAGAAAACAAGAGGCCTCATTTGAAGTATTTCTGCTCTAAGCCCCTCCAAATGTTGCACATCACATGGTCACTGGTTGCTTAAACACAGCTGAGTAACTCCTAATGGCTTAAAATAGTTTGTATCTGCTGTCCTATCATGGGACTTTCTGTGTTTGTGGATATTTGTGTATGAGCGAGACCGCCGCAGATTTATTGCAGGGGTGCAACTGCTGGTTGATGAGCCAAAATTGCAGACAGGAGGTAAATCAGTTATGTTTCCACTAATTTAGACTCGTGGGATTTGCCCAAATTGAATTCAGAGTCTCTCACATGGACACATTGGTCATGGTCTGATGATCTCTGCGCACAGGAAGTGATTAATTGGTGTGGAAGATTTGGAATAACCTCATCTCACCTCCTGCTGCTGCGCTAATGCTCCCTCTTACTCCTCTCCTCTCTCTATTGCCCTCTATGAAATTAGCTGAAGAGTGTATTTGTTAAAGAATTAAACATAACAGACATTTTTACAGTCATTTACTGTACCGATTCTTTAATTGCTATTGAATAATTGTGACATTTCCAAAAGTGGTTGAATTATAGTCCAAATATGTAAGTTATTGTTTATTGACTTATTATTATTTTTTTTAAGTAGGTATATGTACGACAAAAGATGACCAATGTCCTCTCAGGATAGCTATTTTTTTTCCTCTGATCATTATGCAGGATTTCTATGAAACTGGATTTATTTTTAAACATTAATGATCCCTGGTAAAGCCAGAGCCGGTCCAGCCACAGACCAGTTATGCAATCATTAACCTTCTTTGTGTGGGCAGCTGCACTGTGGTCCAGTAAATGAGGTTTTATTTCTTTTTTTTTGGGCTAAGATCAGGATAGATGCTGGGCGGTCAGAGAAGTAAGCTACCATCAAACTTTATACCTGTTTTTACAATTGTTTTCTGATAGATTTCTTTGAAGTTAACAGAAAAGAAAAACTCTATATAGACGGTCAGAGGGCGAAGCGTAAGGTTTTTGGTTTGTTTGCAGTCTCTCTTGTACTATTAAGGCAGAAAATACAAAAACTGAACATGTCTTTGAGACTTCAATAGAATAACAAGGTTAGTTGAGATACAGGAGGGTTCAACAAAACATGGCTTTGAAAAAAACATACTGATCCACATAAAGGAGGACTCTAATTCAGCAGGTTTTGATGTCACTTTTGAATTACCATAACGGTCACAGAAATTCAATAATATTTGGCTTTGGATTTACCGTAATGGCTCAAATAAAGGAGGACTCCAATTTACTATATGTGCTTTCAGAATACTGTCTCCTTCTTCTGCTTCTGCTTTCAACCCTCTGTCCTCCAGCATGTTCTGTCCTGGGCCTAAACTTCTACTTCATTCCAGGTAAGGCCTATCCTTTTTGTTTGGTGTCCCCTGATGTTCATTGGTCGGTCTTGTTTTCTCAGGGTTTGCCAAATCCAGTAAAGACAGTTCTGTTGAAGCCAAAAGACATTTGAGTATTGAATTGACCCAAATAAAAGAAGACCCTCTATTATGGGGCACTCCCAGCCTTATTTATATACTAGCTAGAGTTTCTTCAAGCAGTTTGTTTCCTTATCCCTTTCACTCTGTAGTAGTGAGTGACAGCTGGCCTCAGTCATAGCAGGGATTCTTGTGCGCTGATAATCGGCACTGTCCACTCTTGACAAATTGGGGCTGTCAGGATATCAGATTCTCACCTCATCATGGTAATTATTGAAAAGGTAACAACAAAGTCCTGTCCTTTTGTGAAACGCTTGACAACGACGCTATCAGAAAAATCAAGGAAAGGCAAGACAAGGATGGAGTGAAATGTGACTGCACAAACTACAAAACATCACCACCCCCGTGATGAGACTACTAAGAGCATGGAAACTTTGTCACACATTGTCCACAAAAAACAGATTTTTTAAAAAGTACAAAAAGTTCCCTAACTGTCAAAGAAACTTTTTTGGTAAGGAGGAAGTCTGTAAAGTAAGGTGGCTGTGCATATTCAAAACGCTAAGCAAAAAAAATTAAAAATAAAAAAAAATGCAAATAGCCACAGCACAAATGTAAATAATGACATCTTGCAGAGGAATCAGACATGGGCAAACTAACGCCAGCATTTCTGACAGACTGTTAGAATCTGGAGAGTTGGAAAAAGTCAGTCAACCAAAGTTCACTCGCAAATTTCCATTGCTTACTGAGATGATCGGAAAACGGTATTCATCATAGAGGAAATTTGCGAGCGAACTTTGGTTTACGTACTTTTTCCAACTCTCCAGACTCTTCATCCACAACGTGTCCGTCAGTAATAACAGTCCATCATTAACCCTGGTGGTAATTTGCCCATTTTTGATTCCACTCCAAGATTACCTCCAGTGTCATTATTTGCTTTCATGTTGTGGCTGTGGACGCAAGTCGGTGAAGACAAGGACAAACCCATAACACTAAAAACCAGAAATCCATGCAAAGTTTGAAAAACAGAGAGGAAAATATGAGAAAACAAGACTGGTGATTACGAATGCACTTGGTTGAAACTGACTCTCTGGCAGAGAAAGGGTCCAAACACCAGGATTTATACACAGGTTAGACTAATTACAAACAGATCCGTCTAAATCCACCCAAGCAATGAAAGTGTAACTGAACCAAAATGTTTCCTGAATAACAATATATCAATCAATCAATCAATCAATCAAATTTTATTTATATAGCGCCAATTCACAACAGTCGTCATCTCAAGACGCTTTCCAAAGAACAAGAGCAGGTCGAGACCACGCTCATTGTTTGATGATCAAGAACCAACCTAAGATGGGTTTTGGCCCATCTCAACTAACATGAGTAGCAGTGGCAAGGAAAAACTTCCTTTTAACAGGCAGAAACCTTGGGCAGGACCAGACTCATGCTAGACAGCCACCATGCCGCTGCTGGGTTGGGGAGGAATGTAGTGAGAAGAGGGGAGAGGGGGAGAGGACAGGGGGAGGGAGAGAGACAGCAAGATAGGGGAAAGGCTAGAGAGAATTAGTACGGAGAGGGAGGGGGAGGGAGAGAGAGTAGGGAACGAGGGTGAGAGAGAGACAGGAGGCAGCAGGAACAACAGCAACAACGACAACAGCTCATGTAATGGTGAAACAAAAAGACGTTCAGTTTACAGGTTTAGGATATGAGAAATAATGGACAATGTTGAATTAATTGAGTGTGATTACAGTTAGCAGGCTTAATCGTAGTCAGTTCTATTTTGTATGTCAATAATGACAGTGAGGCTGATGTTCATGTCTGCAGTAACAGTAACAGTCCAGTGGAATCAGAGAGAAGAAGGAGCTCAGGGCCGGGGGGGGGGGGGGGTCTCTGCAGCAACGGTCCAGAGAAGCCAAAGAGCCAAAGAGATGGAGGAGCTCAGGGCCCAGGATGGATGCAGCTGGGGTCAGGCAGTTCCGCAGCAGACCGTTTGCAGCATTAGTCCAGTGGCAGCTAAAAGACTCAGAGACACTCAGAGAGACAGAAAGCTGGTCAGTGACTTATATGGGACATAAAGATCTAAAGAGGAGATAGAGACAGATTCTAGCTCAGTGTGCCAGATAGCCCCGGCAGTCTAGGCCTATAGCAGCATAACTAAGAGCTGGTTCAAATCAGCCCTGACTATAGGCTTTATCAAAGAGGAACGTTTTAAGTCTACTCTTGAAAGTTGAGAGTGTGTCTGCCCCCCGAACCTCGAGCGGTAAATGATTCCAGAGGAGAGGTGCCTGGTAGCTGAAAGCTCTTCCTCCAACACTACTTTTAGAGACATTTGGTACAACGAGCAGACCTGCAGACTGTGAGCGTAACGGTCTAGATGGAAAGTACGGTATAACTAGCTCGTCGAGATATGATGGCGCCTGGCCATTAAGCGCTTTATATGTCACAAGGAGGATTTTAAACTCTGAATATCGGAAATTTCTCAACCATTCCCGTTAAAAAACAATTTAAAAGCCGATGTTTGTTATAAATAATGCAGCCATCTGAAAAATACCCCATCAGAAAGTTCAGCCATGTGCCTTTTCACAGCAGGACACAGAAAATCCACCACAGTTTAATAAATAGCCCATTGTAACCTTGAGCAACTCTGCGATAAAAATTGTAGACGTAACATAATAAAAGGTATTCTGGTCTCATTTGAGAGCCCCTGCTCAGACTTCCAGAGACGGTGTATATTTAAATTAAAATTTGCTGGTGTGGGAGATTGGGACACAATGCATATTCAGATGCTAATTCTCTGCATTTGTCTGTGAAGCAGTGGCCCATTTAATTTGACTTTGTGTAGGATTGTCCTGAGTGCCAGCTCGGGCTGAGGGGACGGAAATTAAATGTTTATGAGATGATGTGAGAGAAATACAAAGGAGGAGACAATGACTGAAAACTCAACATTTATTTTTCAGTCAGTAGGAGACTTGACTGCAGAGTATTTGTGGCCTTATTCTTTTTTTTTTCCTGGGTCCTTCTGACTCAGATTACAGACGAGTTTAGGTCAGAGTTAGGGTGGCTTTCATGCAGCGCTGGAAAGACCACCTTACCTTTTTTTTAAAATTATTTTTAATCCAAGTAAAAATAAGTAAAAATGTTTGCACCTAAATCCAGCGAGGTGCACAAATTTGTTATACAGTCAACATCAAAGTTAAGTTTTCAACTGTGGTGTTGTAAAGATAGGTCATCTTTGTACATGATATTCCAGGGTTTGGGTTAAACAAACCCTGGAATCTGGTCACCCAGACGCCGCCAAGATATTGACACATAAAGCAAAGGCAGAAAGTAAAAGGCATAAAAAAGCAAAGGCGTAAAATGCAGTGTATCGTGGGCCAGTATCAAAGCTGATCCACTTTGCTCGAAAACAAACCAAGACCCTTGTTTTCAAGAGTTCATATGAGCTTTCAGACAACTTCAAATGTACCCGGGGAAAAGGACCGGGCTTCGTCAGAGTATGAAGTTTCATACGGTGTTACTGACATCTGTAACTGTGCACGAAGCCAGAACTAGATTCTGTTCAGTTTCTAAAGGATTCCTAGTTTAATAAGGCTGGGACCAACTGGTTTGATCTTTAGCAAAATGTTTTAGTTTTATTGCTAAAAAGGCCAAAAAGAAAATATTCAAAAAAGTCAATTTAGGCCCAGGACCTCAGAACAGTGAGAGAAACAGGATAATATTTATGTACGTCAAAAATATTATCAAACTCAATCAAATGTGGTATATTTGAACAGTTCTTTGCAGTCCTTGAAACCACATGGATGTTTTTAATCTTGCTTTTATACCTTACATGTCACATTTTGAACACTAGTGCATTTTATTTTAACAAAAAAAAAAAAAGGAAAAATGTTTTTCTTCTCTTTTCTATTGTACCCAGGTAACCTGCAATTCAACCCAGATATAAATATTTCACCATCAAACATGCATTACTCACACTGAGAGATGTCAAATGGTCTTTTCCAGTCTGTCAAACTTCATGGAATAATTACATTTTTATATAAAAGCAGGTTGATGCCCTGTCTAAAACAGTCCCAGTTCATGTGTAAGATGTAGTGATGTCGCTCAGGGATGAGGCTTTCAAATGGAGACCAACAACCAGGAGAATGTAGCACAGTGAACAATGAGAAAAAGGGAAAGTGAAGGTTACTCTGTCCTCTGTATTCTTAGGTGAAAACCTTAAAGAACAATCTTAAACACCGGTCCGATTTGACCTCTGAGCCAGCTTGAGGACCCTCCTCTTTGTCTGTTGGAGAGGACTGAACATGCGGGTTAGACTGAGCTTAAGGCTTTTCACCAAGAGTAAGAACATTTGCAGTTTTAAAAACGTATATTTATCTTTATAAATGAAAAGAAATACTCTCCAAACATGGACAATTGGCCTGTTGGCATTCGGGCATGCCATTTGCTGAATATTTTGAAATCCTAACATTTGCTTTAGCAATAAAAAACACACTTTTGTTGGACCATGAAAATGTTTCAATTTCTAAATAAATGAAATGTCGAGAGTCTATAAAATGAAAGAAAAAGAGAATCAGAGCAGCTTTTGAATACCAGTGTTCAAACAAATCAAGAATAATGAAACATATTTGAAAAGAAATAGACACTGAAGGATCACCTGAATATTCTCGTATGGTTATAACTGAGTATTTCTCTCTGAGCAGCAGCTCCTCGTGCAACGTTAACTCCAAACTTCATCCTCCACATGGTTTAGACACTGTAATTATATCTGTATGGAAACTGCACATTAAGCACGTAGAATCATGTGTAGCCCTTGTTTGTGTGCTGTTCTGGGAACATTCGCGCACCTGTGTGTGTCGTCCTGCACCGTGGTGGTGCTCGCTGATAAATCGGCCTCCAGATGTGTGTGAAGTCTATCTCTGGCAGTGAGGAATATTGGCTCTCCCTGATACTTCATCATGGAAAGGCAGCTCTGACAGAAACCCTGACACAGAAACCTCTCGGAGAAGGGAAGTGGGGACAGCTTGGGCATAATTAGAATTAATGCCGAGATGTGGAATAAGGAAATGAGCCATCACAATACAGATCAGCTCTTCATTTCAATTTTATGCTTGACTCGTTGAATTTCATGGGTAATAATGGATAGGCAAGGTTGCCGATCACTTTAGCTTGTGATGACAGATATATATGCAGTGTTTCTTTATGCTCCTGTAGGCAGAAGTATGAGCGGGGGATGATATAGGGAGGAATAATGACAATAGACATGGGCGTAGAACCAGGAGAGAGAGAGCTATTTCTATTCTGTTAGATTCATTTTTTGTAGGATATCGGCCAAAGACTCACCTCTGCTGCAAACAATTATCTTTATGATCAAAAGAGTCCTGTCCAAAGTGACCGTGACAAACTGCTGTGGAGTTTATCACAATCTCCTGTTACAGCCACACGGTAGTCCGTATGAATCTTCCACTGTCAGCCTGCGATGGTCTGTCCACACCTTTATCGCCAACGGCAGCCAACCAGCAAATCTCCCCATCTCCTCTGATAAAAGCCGGATCCTTTTAGTAATGACATTTGACTACAGCTCAAAATAGATCTTACAGATGGAGCATTTAAAACCACCTTATTAAACGGAATCACAAACTCATGGCAGGTATTACGTGAGGAAGTCGTGGTCAGTAAAGTTACATATGGGGTGAAGCCTCCAGGGTTGTCCTCATGCATACATGTTAAAGTCAAGAACATGTTTTGTGTCATTGAGGGTTTAGAGCCGGCAAAGATTGCGGGACTGCAATCAAACGATCATAGGTTTGTGCGGTTTTGTAATCAGGTAAGAGCAGTAATTGCACGGTTACAGCTGGTGCAAACAGTAACAGAATTAAAGCTCCTGTGAGGAACTTTGGGTAAATATGAAATTTGGCGCCCCCTATAGACAAAGCAGTCTTTGATTATTGTCTAAAATTGAATTGCCTGAAAAAGAAACACACCCTGTAGACTTTTGATGATGAAATATAATTTAATGTCAATATTTTTTGAGGGAAATAGTAAGCACAGCTGCACTGCAACCCTACCTCCTTACTCTACGATTAGGAAAAGAAAAGAAAGAAAAATCAAAGAAAGAAAGAAAGAAAGAAAGATAAAAAGGAAGAAAAAAGGAAAAAAGGGAGAGAGAGAAAGAAAGAAAAAATAAAAGAAAGAAAAGGAGAGAAAAAAGAGAAAAAAGAATGACAAAAATAAGAAAAAAAGGGAAAAAAGTGAAAGAAAGAGAAGACAGAATTAAAGAAAGAAAGAGAAAAAGAGAGAAAGACATAAAAAAGAAAGAACAAAACAGAAAGAAAGAAAAAGAAAAAAGACAAAGAAAGAAAGAAAGAATAAAAGAAAGAAAGAAAAAAACAGAAAGAAAGTAAAGAGAAAAAAGAAAGAAAGAAAGAAAGAAAGAGAGAAATAGAAAAAAGAAAGAACTTTATTGATCTCTAGAGGGAAATTCAATCTTCCACATTACAATACAAGAATCATCAGTCTTGTCATTGACGGTCCAGTTTGCCTCAGAGTCATTAAAAAATGCAGCTTCTTTGATTTCAGTGCATTTCATGAAGTAAAAAAAAACGTATTTCTGTGGCTTTAAGTAACAATGCAGAACAAAAAAATATATCAAAATAATAGACACCACAGAAAAATGTGTCAAAGGCCAGAGTAATTCCATGAATAGACAAAAAAACATAAGGATGTGAATGGTCAGAGTTAGAGTGGGTGCTGGTGGTTAAAGGTTACACCTACTGTGAGTGTGGGCGGGAGTGGGTGGCAATGGTCAGAAATCCAACAAAAGCTGCATTTACAGTTTTACTTTAATAAGGGGGCAAAGGATCTAACTGAGGTCAGGAACAATTGGAGCCCTTGTGGCAATTTCAGTTTAAACCAGTCATTAAACATCCAAACTACCTTCACTTTAACTTGGAGTTAATAACACAGACTCTAGATCTAAAACTAAGGCTCAGAAATACTTTATCTGGGGCAGATGGGAACGGTAGTGAAGCCAGGAAGGCCAACTCCAGTGTTTACCGATACCTGCTGTAATTACATGTGGAAATTAAGCCCTCTCTGAAAAGTCCAACTTTAATACCAACAAGATCATCGTGCACGTAAAGTGGTGATGTTTTTTCCCACATTTAGCAGGACCCTGGTGACACGGGGGAAGAAAAAGGTATGTCAAGAGGGAGCTACAGAGGAGAACTCCCGTTCAGTCTCCTTCACCCCACATCATTAAGAGTCTTCCTACCTGAGTGAAAGGAAATTCTTTAAAACACAAAAGGAGTCAGCCTCATTTCTCTGAGATTTCCCTGAAGGTAATGAGGCTCAGTAATTCTACAACCACACAGCAGCTTGATCAACCGTAAGAGAGGAGAGACAGCACCGTGTCTATCGCCTCTGTGAGTGTTTATTGAACCTCTTGTTAGTGCACTTGCTGTACTTTGTTTGGACGTAAACAAATTAGCTTTGTTGTGAGACTACACTCATAGTTGTTTATATGCCACCAAGCCAGCTCTCACTGTGTATGTACGGGGTTATGTTGCTTCAGAAGCAAAACCTAAAAGGCGGGAGTCACGGGTTGAAAAAACTAACAAAAGGCTGGTGTCCCAAAAGAGTCAAACTAAAAAAAAAGGGGGCCCTTAAAGGTGGCTGTGGGAATAATAATCCCTACAGGCACCCGCTGATTCTATCAAAATGATAGAGGAACAAAAGGACTGGACTCAAAACAAAGGAAAAGTGGGACTCGCTAGACTGAGTGGACACGAAATTACTGGGAACAGACGCTGGCCAAAAGAAGAAAACTTGTTCCAACAAACACTCATCTCTGGTTTTTCCCTCAAACAGCCACCACAGAAAGCCCGCTGACATTGTTGACTCTCTGGAGACAAAAACAAACTGAACAGGGACACCCCCTCTACCCCTCCTCTGAAGTCTAATTATCATCAGCTGAGAGAGAACATCACAGGTGCATCCAATAACTCCTGATCAGTGAGGACACCTTTGACCCACATTATCGGGTCTCTGTCTGCAACAGCGTGTTTCATTAGTCGAGCAGAGATCAGTGGGTTATTTTTAGGCTCTGAAAGGATTAGATCAGATTTAGGGGGGAAAGAGATTATGGTTTGGGTTTAAATACTCACTGCATGGGTACAATTTAGTGTGCATGCTTAATTGCATTACAAGACATAAGGAAATCAGCATAATAGAAATGATTGGGACTATTGATACTACACTGAGGCTACTTTCACATGCACGCAGATATTTTTGAAAACACAGCTTGTCTCTGTTTTAAACCTCCAGTCCACAAAGGTTTAGGTTGTAGGTCACTGAACAAGGTTGTTTTCATGTTGGCTATAAGTTTTGGGAAATGACCACCCATGATGGCGGGCTTCTGCTTTGTTTAGGTCTGCTTTGTGCTGTTTTGCAGGGAAACCTCGCTGAGAATAAATACAGAACTCTCAATAGGTTTTAATTCACAATGTAGTATCGCCACGTTTCTGTCTACCATGAGTCTGGTTCTGCTCAAGGTTTCTGCCTGTTAAACTTGCTAACAGCTGCATTCATGTCGATGAAGATAGGATGGGTGTGGGTCTGATCTGACAGGATAGGACTCAATCTAAATAGGCTGTATGTACTATGGACAACTTAGCTCCGCCTTCTGTCATTATGCTAATTTGAAGCCAAATTACTCTCAGTATTTTCTGGATTTTCTCCACTTCCTGGAACCACCACAGTAACTTTGTATGCATTCGGCAGGAAAGACGCTGTGATGACACTCTGCTCAAACCGGGTATCCCCCCAGGTTAGCTACACAATCTTCATACGCCCATAGGCTGTATCAGGTGTCAATCATAGAAAACATGAACTTCTTTATAACGGTTAAAAATGGAGCTGCAAAGAAAAAAGAGGACTTGAGCACAAACCAGTCTTACAGTAACTACGTGTCAACATCGCAACCGGGGGGGAGAAAAATTCACATTCTGTGTAATTAATTTCTAAAGTTTGTCCACAACTCCATAGGGATTTCTGGAGGATACAGGATTTATGACCTATACTGCAGCCCGTCACCAGAGAGTGCTGTTCTCACAAGGGCTTTGCCCAGCGAGGAGGCAGACAGCATCCCTTCTATATACAGTCTATGGTCTTACCCCAACTTCATGTTGAGTCTTTCTGTAAACATCATGAAGAATATAGGCTGAACCATACTGTTAAAAGTCTTTAGAAGTCTTAATGTTTGTTGGGAATTGGGGGTATATAAATAAAGATCAATTTATTGGTTGATATTATGTTTTCCCTAAGTTACCTCTTGACTCCCAAGGCTTTCCAGCGTACAACTTCACAACATGACTCCAGGACTCTAGGAGTTCCATTTGCATCGATCAATAGACCACATCAGTTTTTCTGGATGTCAGTTTGGCCCAGGGGTCAGAGAGTTTGACCATGAACCAGAACTGGAGTCCATCCACAGCTGGAGTCCATCCAGAAACTTGAAATCATGACCCTGAACTTGTTTCCTAACATTCCTGATCTCTCCTCTTGGCACTTTCCATGAAGAGATTTTTTTTCATATTGGCAACTGGCCAACGTGGCAGAAAACTGTTTGGATAAATGATATACTGTAAAGCACGAGCAGTTTTGTTCTTCTCCTTCCATTGTTACAGTTTCTTAGGACTGTGATCTGATTCATACCATCCATGGGTCTTAAAGCACGGCCTTGTGTTCCTGTTTGTCAATCATAATTAAGTCAAGCAAGCGCAGTGCATGATCTTGTTGGCCCTCTATTGATTTTACAGAATTAGTTGACTGACATGGCCTGAATAATGCTCAGTATTGACCTCTGTGTCATCTCCAGTATAGTTTTAGGTTTAATATTCTTCTGCTCTTCAGGGTCGTGATCCACAATGAGCTCAAGTGTCACATTCGCACTTAGTCATTGCTCATTGTGGTGCTACCGCTGAATGTAATGTGAACATGATAAAGGGGCTGTAAAGAGGCTGTGTGTATGTGTGTGTGTGTGTGTGTGTGTGTTTGAATTAGTAGAAAGAAACAACTAATTGAAAGGTTTGAATAGAAATGCTTCATAAATGTGATTATAGTATTCAGTAAATTCACAGTAAGACAGACGCTTGGATAAATTTACTCTGTTCACTTTGAGGTGAGAAACTGTAGATATTTGTGATGAATTCATCATTTGGTTGCACCTGTCAGCTGCTCTTATCTGCATATTTAAAAATAAAGTATTTAATTAAGAGCTGAAAAAAAAAATTGATGACAATTACTCACATTTTTAATTGCCATGATTATGCATTTCATAGAAGTACCACTCGTCACTCTAAAATAATTTTACTTACTCACTAAAAGCCAATAATCACTGGTTGATGCAACAACTCTTGCCCTTTTTGGGAGTGTCGGTTGCTTGCATTCAGGTCCCATATACCAGAAACTATTTTCACTGCAACTACAAAATGCATGAATGGTGACAAAATACAACCTTAAAGACCCACTCCGATGAAAATCATGTTTTTCTTGTTTTTTATATGGTCCTATGACATTTGTCTGATGCTACAGGACATATCATGAGAAAATAAGAGTATTTCTGCATTCAAATTGCTGAGAATCTCTGGCAGACCCAAACGGCAGGTTTAGAAACAGTAAGATTTCCTATGTCACAAATCCAAGCTCCGCCCCCAGAGCCCTGCGACGCAGGTCAGACTCAGAGAAATAGAGAGGACGATAGCAAAACAAGCGTGTGTGTTAGCAGACTGCAATGCTTGTAAGAACGCTAATTATGATACTGACTTTCATCATGTCCCCAAAGATATTAGTGTCCAAGAGCTGAATAGCTCCTGTGTTACCTGCTACTTCTACTACATCGGCAATGTTAGGCTACAAGCTCGCGTGAAGAGGAGTATACAGAGCGCTGTCTCCGCCTACGTCTCAGAGGCGAATTGCTAATGAGCTACTGGAGCTCTGCAGAAGAAAAGCTCTTGAAAATGACACAGGTAATGTGATTTTGGCCGAAAAATTTCATTCCTATGATATTTCTGTGATTGTGGACTGGCTTGCAGTTAAGTTCCACTGTTTTCATCTTACCTACTTTGTTTCATCTATGGGGAGGATTTTCACACCCCCACTTTGGACTCTTGTGATGCTGTTACCCACTGACATTAGTCTAACTGGCTGCACTTGTACGCACCGCTCATTCATAGTATTATAAAGTCAAATCCAGTGACATGCAAATTTCATGATTTTATCACTTTGACTTGTCAACTGAGCTTATCTGGGTGATTGAGTGAGAAACTCAGGACTGTTGGTATTTGCTGTGACCTAACTGCAGATGGTTAACCACCAAAAAAAGACAAGAAAAAAACAACACAGCTCCTCAGTGACACAGTCTGCCTCGGGCTGTGAAAGTGGAGTAGGTTTGGCAGATCACCAACTCTAAGAATAAAGATTCATCACATTAATTAGGGTCAGGATCTTGCTGGAAACAGAACCTGAGAGTAATTGATGCTTAGTAGGCAGAGAAAATTCTAGACTTCTAGGCAGGAGCTGGATTGAAAGACTGAACGCCACCTGTCCACAGACGCACATCTGCAATCCACTTTCCTCTTTCCGCATTGTAGGGTACTGCAAGACTGTGTTTTACCTACATAACCATTTTTTATACATGAACCTAGAAAGGAGATCCTGAGGACAATACAAAGAGTGTGTCTTTAGGTGTTTTCACAACTTAATAATTAGAAGATAATTTGTCTACTCGGTTTGGTTTAGTTTGGACATATGCAGAAAACCAGTGAGCCAAGATCACCTGAGGAGGTGGTCTTACTTGAAACCAAACCCTACAGGGGTTCATTTGAAGCCCAGCAGCTTGAACAAATAACTGCATGACTCATCACACTTTGGTGGTAGCCGCTTACATTAATTTGGGTCTTGTAGCTTCCTTCCTAAAATACGAAGTGCAACAAGTATGCATGGAGGCTGAGACGCAATGGCGAGAGAGCCTGTGACGGTGCCTGTTTGGGCCCAATTTACAATATTGCACTAAAAAGATAGCATCCAAGGGGAAAATGGACAATGAATCACTTCATCATCTAAACTGGAACCATGCAAATGAGCTGCTGGTGTGACAGCAACCAGGTCATTATATCTTGATACATAGGGCCGCTGACCAAGCAGCCATATTTAACAAGGCGGGAGTGAGGATGGGCCAGTGTTCCCAGATAGGAAATATAGAATTATCGTACCAGAGACTCAAAATTATCGTATTTTGGGGAAAATTATCGTACACCCCCCATAATCAAAATAACAATCTTACTGTTGCATGATAGTCACATATAGTCACTCTGTTTAGTGTCCTACAGGCACTCACGATTTTATGGCTACAGTTTTGTGGTCATTCACCATCCCACCAGCCAACGAGTGAGTGGGCGGAGTCTCATGACTTGTTCACAGCGAATAACCAACATGTATCAGTCAGAATGTGAACGAGTCAGACTGTGAACAAAATGAACGACTTCTGAACGACAGAGAGGCAGAGATGGGAGGGGTGTAGCATCATTCACGAAATGCCGAGCACCAGTTCGTTCGCTGAGGCTAAGAGGAAACAGTGCATTATCGCCACTCAAACTACGACTGGATGGAAACGTCACATGGTAAAAGATACCTTCAGGGTTTGCAAATAAAAAACTGAAAAATAAAGTGTCTGTCAGACTGAGACAGTCCTATTGCACCACACGTTCACAAAACTGTCAAATTATTGTACATTTAGCCTTTTTTCTGGGTTGTACAGATCGTACAGAGGGCAAAATTATCATACAAATACGATAATTATCATACACCTGGCAACCCTGGATGGGCCAAAATAGGGTGAATTTAAATAAAACATACCTGACCAACCCTCTGAAACCCCCTACCATCCTCCACTGAAG